TCTCACTATGTTGCCCAGGCTGGTCTCAATCTCCTGGACTCAAGCAGTCCTTTCACTTCAGCCTCCCAAAGTGTTGGGATTACAAGTGTGAACCAGTGTGCCTGGCTTACATTTACTTTTATCTCAAAAAGGTTTTTTGGGTTTTTTAAAGTAATTTTTTTGGCTTGGGGATCAAGGACCTGAGAAAAACTACAACACATGAAAGAAGGATGTTCCCTTTAGGTTTTGTATCTTACATAAGTCATTTTGATTTTTTTTAAATCAATTGTAGATACATCTTCTAACTAACCTGGGGAAAAAAAATACATGGAAAGGCTTTGATTTACCTCTCTTTGGGAAGAGAGGCAGCAACTATTAATATTTCCTGTAGACTTTAATTACCCTTTTGGATAGTAGAGTGGCCTAGATCATTATATTTTATAATCGTACTTTCTCTCTTAGCTAGTGCCAAAAAGAATCCTAGGATTTCTTTTCACTTTAGAAACAAAATCTAAATTTTATGCTGTTGATTAAAGATCTTAGGAACTCACACATATTCATGAGAATAAACATGAAGCTCATAACACTCACTAAAGAGTCATTTACCAGGAGGTATACTGAATGGAAAGACAGGGTTAAGGTGAAAAGGTCACAGCAAACATTACAGGCTGTTAAAGACCTCTGTGAGGCCAGAGTCACACAAATGGCTGAAGGAAGTGACGTCATGTACCACTCATGGTTCACAGAAAAAGATGTTGCAATCTCTTGCCTACAGATTATTTTTTAGAGAAGGAGAAGAGGGTTAGAACCTGGGAACAAACTGCAATACATTTTGATATTTTGCATAGCACCCTCTGTGGATTACCCCTGAGGACGACTTTTAAGGAAGCAGCTGATGGCCTATCTGCCAGTGCCACACTTTTATTTAATCGCTGGCTATTAGGGCAGGTTTGGAGAGGTTGAGAATAAAACAAAAAATGAATGGATTTTAGAGTCAGGCCTAGATGCAAACCTCAAGCTGGCTGCTCACCTACTAAATAATTTTAGATACATTTCTTTACCCATCAGTGCCTCTATTTCCTTAAGAGCATAAAACCACCTACTCGTCAGGGTTGATGGGCAACAAACTGAGATCAAATATTTTAAAAATTTAGTTCAGTACCTACTGTACAGTAAGTATCCTGTCAATATTAGTTTCTCTCTCTCCTTTTTGTAAGTCAGCCCTTGGTTTCATTAATGCTAGAGCAAACGTTTATTGCAAAACCTCCCCTGGTCACAGGCTACTTTGGTAGAGCAAAAACACTAAGAGAAAAATCCTCCCCATCTCTTCTCAGGCCATTTAGACATTCTCGAGCACACATGAAGAGGTGAAAGTGAACCTGCCATTTCTGGTTTTCCCTAAGCAGTCTGGTATAAAATGTAGGTGTTATTTACTTATTTATTTTTGAGAGGGTCTTGCTCTGTCGCCCAGTCTGGAATGCAGTGGCGCCATCACGGCTCACTGCAGCCTTAACCTCCTGGACTTAAGTGATCCTCCCACCTCAGCCTCCCGAATAGCTGGGACCACAGGTGTGCACCACCATGTC